AAAAATAAATGCTCAATAAATAGCCAAATGCCTCATCATCTATTTAGTGACGTGAATAAATAAATGAATGAACAAGATTGCCACAGTCCCGACCTACTATCCAGTGAAACCACAGCCAAGGGAGCAGGTTTGGCAGAATCAGCAGGGGAAGAAGACCTTGTTGAGCCTGGTGCACTCTCAACAGTATGGGATGACCCCCCGCTGGCGTCCCAGCTGCCAGTGAAATAGCACTACTGTGATCGTTTTGGTGAGCAGACCTGGTCTCCCGGGTAGAGGAGGGAAGGCCTCCCATGCTGGCAGCAGGCACACCATGTCTGAGACCCCAGTGGGTAGACCTGGCCTTCCGTGCCCAGACTCTGCATGCTGGGGACACAGGGTACACCTGGTCCCCTGCTCCAGTGGGGTGACACGGCCTCCCATCCCAGCAGAGGGCAGACCTGCTCCCTGGGACAGAACTTGGCCAGTGGGGACACGAGTGTTTCCTGGGCCCGGGTTCATTCAGGTGCTGTCCCTGATGACTCAGTGCCTGAGCAGCTCCCAGTGAGCTCTGCCACACGTTCCTCCCCCCACCCTCACCTCCCTGAACCACCACCACCGCACTCCAGTCCCTGGTGATAGCAGAGTTGTCTCCAGCCTGCTCGGAAGGAGAGAGACCACAAACAGGCACAGGACATCCACGGTGACATCCCAGAGCTCTTACATCTTCCAAAGACTTGCAAGGTCACAGGCAGTCACTGGTGTCCACGAGGACAACAGAGGTGTCTTGACATGCTAAGGGACCCATTTGGCACAGGCACTCGCTGAGGTTCTGTGGTGACATCCCAGAGGTCTCCAAGCCCCTAAAGAACACTGAGGTCATGTCCAATCCCAAGGGCTCCATGGGGACATGCCAGGAGTCCCCTGTTTGCTAAACTGCACTGACCTCACACGCTGTCACAAGGTCTCAGTGGCAACATCCCGAGTGTCTCCATGCTGCTAAAGAGCTGTAATGTCACAGGCACTCACAGGCTCTGCAGTGACATTCCAATGTGTCCAAGGTTGCAAAAGAACCATAAGGTCACACGCTGTTAGAGGAACTCCACAGGGACATCCCAGGGGGCTCCAGGCTGCTAAAGAAGTGCTTTGTCACAGCCACTCAGAGGGGATCCATCGTGACAAGCCAGTGGCCGCTGTGCTCCTAAAGAGCACTGAGGTCACAGGCAATGACAGCAGCTCTGTGCTGACATCCCCTGTGTTTCTGCACTGCTAAAGAACTCTGATGTCACCGGCACTGACAATGGTTCCACAGCGACATCCCAGGTTTCTCTAAACTGCTAAAGAGCACTCAGCTCAAAGGCCCTCCTAAGGCTTCCATCCTCACATCCTACAGGGATCCAGGTTTCTAAAGAGCCCTGAGCTCACCTGCACTCACACGGCTTCCATGATGACATTCCAGGGCTCTCTGGGCCTTCTAGGGAGCCAGGAGGTCACTGGCAGAGACAGGCACTCCATGCTCACAGTCTAGAAGACTGGGCTGCTAAAGAGACGGCAGGAGCAGTCACAGGCACTCCGTGGTGACACCCCAAGGCTCTTCAATCTTCCTCCTCTCTCAGTCACCCTCAGCACCGCCACTGCCCCTCCCCTGCGCCTCCCCACGCCCCACCGCTCCCGGGGAGGGAAGGAGGGAGGGAGTCTTTAGGAGCCGCCGGGCTTTCTGACTCGGCCCCGTCCCCAGACCGGCAGCAGCGAGAGATCTGAGCCCGGGGCTTGCGTCTCTAACACCGCCGTGCTCCCACCCCGTCTCCCGCCTTCGTTTCTGAATCGCTCCCTCGCCCCGCTGCGCTCCTGCTCGGCCCCGCCGCGGGCTGAAGGAGAAGCGGGAGAGCCGTGGGACAAACGCCATAAAACAAGACTCCCAGCGACCCACCCAGAAGTCTCCTTGGCCAAGACACCGCGCAGCCGCCGGCAGCACCCGCAGCCCGTGCCCAGCCTGGCCCGTGCCCGGCTCCCCTGCCCGCCCCACACGCTCGCTGCCCCGCGCAGCCGCCTCCTCTCCGGCCGCCGCCAGCCGCGCCTGAGGGCCCGGGCGGCGGCGGGAAAAGCCTTTCCCGTTGTGCTTCGCGCCACCGCCCGGCCGAGCGGGGACGGCCCTGAGGGGCGGCGCGGGGAGCGACGTAACAGCCTCTCCCAGCGAGAAGGGAGAAAAGGAATCGAAAGGAAAACGCGGCGTGGGGGCGGTGGGAAAGGGAAACGAACAATTACCGCACTCCCCTCTGCACTCCTGCCCGCACCTCCGCCTGCCGCGCCGAAAAATAAAACAGCCCGGCTTGGCAAGACAGAATTCCCTCAGAGCGCAGAAGCGAAGCCGAAAAGCTCGCTGGGAGCGCGGCGGGGACAACAGAAAAAAAAAAATCTTAAAAAAAAATACTGCGGTAGGGCGTGACGATGAAAATAAAGGAGTACGATTTAGGGGTCTGGTAGCTGTCCGGGTCAAAGGAGCTGTCCAGCGTCCAGTGCGAGCCGCCTGCTGCCAGTTTCCTGAGGGCCCAGAGGTGGCCACTTTTGCCCCCACTTTCCTTGCAGCTATTGCAAAGCCAAGATCACACCATGCATCTCAGATTCAGTCATCAGCACTTATCAAATATCCCTGTCACAACCTTCCGCCGGGCAGAAAACCAGTTAACATATTTTATGTTCATACTGTCACTTATGTCCACCTGGGTCGTGCAAGTCGAGAGGGGAGAAAGAGGCCAAGAGTCACTTGAGAGGCCACACAGGCTCAGATAACACCTGTAATTTTTACTGTCTTCCACTGCCAGCTCATCTGGGAAAGTCTGGGAGTGTCATCAAGGCTGAGGCAAGTAATTCCCTGCCAATTTGTGGCCCACACACTGGATGATAATGAATATGAGGAGACAATACTTCTCAAAGTGATTTTAAATCTGTGATGCTAAATATCCCCCCCCTCCCTTTCAGGCCTCACCATAATCTATCTGAGATATGCTGGTTGGGCCTTGGCCTTGACCAAGGGCTTGGCCTTGACCTACCTGGGCTGAGCTGCTCTGGAGCTTCTCAGAAACACTGTGTACTCCCATGAACTGCTATGTTTCAATGTGCTTCTGGTTTTGTTGTTGTTGAATAGACTTTGAAATTTGTTTTTGCCCAAATGGCATCACATTCTAATTCTCACACTTTGAAAGAAAGCTGCTGATGGAAAGTTGGGGCCAGGATGAAAGCTTGTTGTGATAAAGGCCATCCCTCTAAGCAGGGGTGCCCAAGGAGCCCCTTGGAGCTGTGCGGGGCCACAGCAGCCGTGAGCAGCAAAGTCCCTGTGAGTGGGGCCTCTGCCAGCCGGGAGCTCTCCTGTTTGCTGCACTCAGGGCATCCCTGCAGATGGAACAATCTCACTGAAACTCCCCTAAAACCGCTCCAGTGGGGACCTTGTGGGGACAAGAATGTCACTGGGGACCCCCAGCACCCACATACCTCCCATCCACTCTGATGGGGATCCTGCAGGGACAGGAGTGTCACCAGGACAACCCAGACACCCACCCACCCCTCCTTCCGCCTGGAAGGTGGTTGTAATCAGCTGGGGGCTGGTGTCTTCTCCCAGGCAAACACTGACAGAAGGAGAGGACACAGTCTTAAGCTGTGCCAGGGGAAGTTTAAGCTGGACATTAGGAAAAAATTCTTTACTGAGTGATTGGGCATTGGCAAGGGTACCCAGGGGGGTGGTAGAGTCACCGCACCTGGAGGTGTATAAAAAAAGACTGGATGTGGCACTCAGTGCCAGGGTTTAGTTGATAAGGTGGTGTTGGGTTACAGGTTGGACTTGATGATCCCAAAGGTCTTTTCATCTTTTCCAACCCAGTTAGTTCTATGATTCTGTGAACTTTGGTGCTACTGCGACTTTTCCTTTCCCGGAGGAGCCTCTTCCACAACAGCCCCTGGAGGAGGGAACACAGACAGCTTGTGTCACCCCCGAGGCCCTTGGAGGGGGTGGGATCAGGGGCAGGGGGTGCCCACCTTGAGATTGATGAACTGGGAGGTTAGGGGGCAGTCTCTTTTTAGGGCTTCTCGCAGCCCCCCAGGAGGTCCTCCCATCTCGGTCTGGGAGGGACCAGAGTCAGCACACACAGTACGCCCAGACCACCCCTCTTTCCCTGGGAAACATCCCCCAAAGGTGCCAAATCCTGCTGGTATCTGGTGCAGCCAAGCTTTGGGTAGGCAAAGGGGAGCTCAGGGGGGCAAAGGAGAAGGGACAGAGGGGTTTATCCTGCTCCTGGTTCAGTGCCCAGTGCTAATGCCCAGTGCCAGTGTCCAGCCTCAGTGGCCATCCCTGCTGTCCAGTCCAACTGTCCAGTGCCCAGTGTCAATGCCCAGTACTGGTGGCCAGTCCCACTGCCCAGCTTCAGTGTCCAGCCCCACTCCTCAGCCCCAGTCCCAGTTCCCAGCCTCATTTCCCAGGCCTGGTACCATGATGCCACTGATCTAGGACGGTCCCCACCCCAGTCCCAGATGGGTGCCAGCCCTGCTGCCAGCCCCAATACCAGGTGTGTGCAGATGTGTGCCAGTGTCATCCCCCATCCTGGGGGGCACAGGACAGCCAGCAGCGGGACCCTGGGCCAGGCAAAGCCACACCGATCCTGGAGGAAGCTGATCCCTTTAACCCAGGGATCAGCTGGTGCAGCAGCAAGAAGGGAGCAGTGATGGGGACAGTGATGGAGATGGTAGGAGTGACAGAAAGAGGCAGCCATGCACAGCTTAGTGTGGGGCCTGGGGCATGGCATGGGGCATGGTGTGAAGTATAGCGTGGGACACAGCACAGGACACATGGCACAGGGTATGCTGTGGGTTGGAACATGACCCTGGAGCACGGCACAGGACACAGGACATGGAACATGGCTGGAGAGCACAGGGACATGGGAATGACCGTGGAGCATGGCATGGGACACAGGGCACGGGACACTGCATGGGACATGACCATGGAGGACAACACAGGGTTCAGTCAGTCCCAGCATCATCACCCCAAACCTCCTCCCACCAACCCCAATGGGACACCCACCCCAAGCCCTGTGGACACCAGTGTCCCCTAGAAGCTGGGCCAGCTCTGGATCTCCTGGAAGAGGGTGTTGCCAGGGCAGTTGGTGGGGCTGAGCTGGCCACACAGGATGAAGTCTGGCTGGATGCAGCCAGAGGCTGGAGTTCATTCTGCATCAGGACCAGGGTGTTGGGGTCCGGCAGTGTGGCCAAGAAGTCCTGGAAGATGCTAGTGCTGAAGCCCTTGGTATTGTAGTCCTTGGTGTGGGCACTGACCCAGTGCCACCCCCGACCCTCGTACAGGTACCCATCCAAGCCCACCACGAAGCTACAAGGACCTGACAGTGGGGACCCAGTGGTGGGAACCATGGGGGCATAGTGGTGGGGACTGCAAAGGGACAGGGATGGGGACCATGGGGGGCAAAAGGGACCACAGAGTGATAGGGACCATGGTGGGACAGTGATAGGGACAGTAGGGGGGATAGTGGTGGGGAATTACAAGGGGAAAGTGATGGGGACCTTGGAGGGCAACAGGTCCTTCAGGTGGTGACAGGGCCCACCAGGGTACAATGACAGCTCCCTTGGGGGTGCCAGCTCCCTCAGAGGGTGCCAGCTCCCGACAGCCAATGTTGTCCCAACTGTGGGTATCCTGGTGGAAGCTCGGCATATCCCTCATGACATGGGAACAGGTGCAGCAGCTCTAGCATGGCTCTAGGGTGTGGTGCAGGAACATGGAGCCCAGCAGGAGCCACAGCAATTACAGGGTGCCCCAGTAGGGACCAGCCCCCACATGCAGTGGGACAAGGGGCTCCATGTGTCCCTTAAGCCCTTAGGAACATGTCAGAGTCCACGTGCTGACGAGGGGCTCAGTGAGTCCTTGGAGACATGGCAGAGTCCATGCGGAGACAAGGAGATTGATAGGTCTTTGGGGACACATGAGAACATCTGAGGGACCCTCAGCCTGGGTGTGGGAGGGTTCTCCTGGGAGTTACTGAGGAGATGGGAAGCGGCTACTCAGGGTGTCCATTGGCGGGGACATGAGGGGGCCAGTGTCCAAGGGACACAAGAGTGTTGGCCATGGGGACATGGTGGTGGCCACCTAGGGACACCCACTCAGGGACCACCACCCAGGGGAGAGAGTGGTGGCCATCTAGGGGACAGAGTTGTGTCCATACAGAGGACACGGTGGTGGTCATCAAGGAAAAACCGTGGTGTCCCCCCAGGCAGCACAGCGGTGGCCATCCACAGGACATGGTGGTGACCACCCAGGAGACCCGAAGACGTCCCACCACACCAAGCCACCTGTCCCTACCATCATCTCTCAGTGCCCACCCATGAGAGTGACCCCACCCCACTCACCTGGGGTCCCCTCTCACTCCTTCCCACCCCATTTGTGCAGTGACAACCCCCATTTGTGTGGTGACAAGCCCCCTTTCTGTGGTAACAACTCCTGTTTAGGGGGTGATAACCCCCACTTGTGTGGTGACAACGCCATTTAGGGGTGACATCCCCTGCCCATACCCACATAGCACTCATTTAACTCCTGTGACACCCAACAAGCCAAGACCTCCACCTGCTGTGTCCTCACATCCCTAAGGGGTTGCCAGGTGTGTGACAGCACCCACAGCATCCCCAAAACCTTCTTTTGCCTCCTTCTCCCACTGTCCTGGCCACACCAGCACCCCAAAATTCCGGTGCCCTAACTGCTGGGGGGGGGGGGGGGGGGGGCGGTACCTTAACGTCATAAGAGGAAGACAGAATTAATCCCAAAGTGTGGCACCATAATAGGAAAGCTGAAGATTGGACCCATTAAGATAGAAATAAGTAATCCAATTGTTTCCATAAGAGTAAGAGTATTAGAAGCTTTGAGGGGTCCATCAGGGATAGCTGTTGTCCATATAAGAGGACACCAGAGGGGAACAGATTATCGGACTCATGGGAATAATTTGGCTGATGCAGAAGCACAAAGGGCAGCAGTATGCTTAGCCGTGTTCTTAAATAATTTGAATAAAAGTGAAGATGATACAAAGTATCAAAAATGCTATATCTCATAGGAAATACAAGAGATGGAGAAACTAGGGGCTAAGCTAGAAGAGGATAAGTGGCTTTTACCGGATGGTAGAGAAATGCTATCTAAAAGTTATGTTACAAGAATAATTCACCAATTACACTAATGAACTCATTGGTGAACACGAGCACTAAGTGACCACTTGGTAAAGTTTTTAGGGTGTCTAAGAATGTTTGATATAGCAAAACAGAAGACACAAGGATGCATTATTTGCCAGAAAATTACCAAGAAGACATCTAGACAGACCCTGCAGGGAGGCAGAAAAACTGCATATAGGCCTTTTGAAAAGATACAATTGGATTTTACCAAATTACTGAAAGCGGGAAGAGATAAGTATTTGTTAGTAATAGCAGACCAATTAACTCATTGGATAGAGATCTACCCTGTGACACAAACAACAGCACATTTTGTTACAAAGATTAGTTTAGAAGAAATAATTCCACGATTTGGGGTGATTGGAGTGATTGATTCGGATCAGGATTCCCACTTTACCTCAAAAGTGTTAAAAGAAGTAATGAAAGCTCTAGGGGTCTCTTGGGAATAATATACCCCTTGGCAACCTCACAGTTTGGGGAGAGTAGAAAGAATTAACCAGGCCCTAAAGCATCAGCTAGCAAAACTAATGATTGAAACAAAACTATCTTGGATTAAGTGCTTACCATTGGCATTGTTAAATATTCGAACAATGCCGAACTCAGAGCATGGGATCTCCCCATGTAAGGCGTTATACAGAATGCCATATTCTCAAGAGATGCTGGGAGATAAAATAACCTGTACTGAACAGGATTGTAATTGCTATCCTTTGGAAGCACTGAATGAAACTATTGTAAGGAGAGGTGGTATTATCATTGTCGCAGGGGTTATCCTCCAAGTGGATTGTGTCCAGAGTGTAAACACATTGAACAGATTTTAACTGAATATATTGTAAAAAAAATAGAGAATAGAGGAAGGAACATTAGAACTAGATTCTTATGAGTGGCGGATGTTGTGGAAATACGGATTAAGAGGGGGACAATCAAGTGAGGCAAATAATAAAAAGATTGAGCATCTCAGACATAATCGAGTCCCTTGCGGATCTGAGCCAGTCAAAGCAAAGAACTGGGAAGTATTTAAGAAATGGCACGAAACCCAGGAAAGCTCATACAGAACCCATGAAGAATATCCTTGCTGCCGAGAAGATGATACCCCTCACTGCTGGGAGCACCCTAGTAGGCAGAGAAGGAAGAGGGATAATAAAACTGTGGGGCCTTCTGGTACTGCTGAGTCTTCCAGAGAATGGGATAACCAGTCCCTACTTGAAGGGCTACCAAAATGTAAAGTATGGCCGGACCACAGCCCGAGCATTTGCACCAAACACTCATATTAATGCACGATGTTATGAGCCAGGAAAACCTGAAACCTGTACAATAGGAGAAAAGAGTTACTGGGTAGCAACAAATTCAGGAATGGGAAGATGGGCACCGCGAAACTACCAATTTTGTCCCCGAGGAGAACCGTTCCTCTGTTTTACCAAAGGTGGAATGTGGGGATACTCAGATAAAGGGGGAGTACAAGATAAATTCAAGGAAGAATTAGTGAAAAAAGTCACAAAGAATTTAGGGGAAATTCAAACCAAAAAAGAACAAGAGCAGGAAGTGACCTGTATAAAAAAATACAGAAAAGACTCAGTGATTGGGACCTCCCTATGTTAGGAAAAAAATTTGTGTATTGATCTGATGCAAAAAGTAGTTAAGGAATTAAATGTGACTTACTGTTGGCTTTATGGGGATCCTAAATGACCGAGCAATGGCATGGAGAGGAGAAGGGGTTGGACCTGATCAGTTTATATTATGGAACAGGACACAAAGATTTAATGAAATTCAACCTGACAGGTAAACATTGAGTCACAAAGTAGTAGATCAAATTTGTATTTCTAGGAAAGGAAACAATTTTATTACAAACGTAGGACAAACCCACTGCAAGAAAATATATACCACCAACTCCACTTTTACAACATGGTGGCCGAAACCACCAACAGGTTATTGGTCTATCAACTGTACCAAGGGTACTGTTTTCTGGAAAAGTGTAACACATGCTAATCCTTTTGACGAGGTAAAAGATCTTAGGGGATATTGGGAAAATCTGGGTAAGATGGCTGAAAATTGGACAGCTTCAAATGGATTATTTTGGATCGCTGGTAAAAGGGCATATAATGAATATCAAAGAGATGGAGAGGTACCTGTACAATTTGAATTATACAACCTGCATTCTTTTTGCTACCAAAGAGCAAAGGTGAATGTTCAGGACTACCTCTTTACGAAACTCTGCGCAGAAGAAAACAAACTGAAATAGGAAGAAAACAGCCCTGGAAAAATGAAGAATGGACTTCCCAACAGATCACAGATTACTACAATCCTGCCTCCTGGGCTCAGGACGGCAGCTGGGGTTATAGAATCCCTATGTGTATGCTTAACCAAATCATTAGATTACAGGCCATTGTAGAAATTACTTCTAATCAAACATCAGAGGCACTGAAGCTTGTAGCTAGACAACTAACCCAGACCAGAGTGGCAGTATATCAGAATAGGCTAGTCCTAGATTATTTATTAGCTGAAGAAGGGCATTTTGTGGAAAATTTAGTACGTCTGAGTGCTGTTTAGAGACTGATGATAATGGAGAAGCTATTACAAATTGGGCAGGCGAAATTAAACAAGTTGCACGTGTTCTAGTGCAAAAATGGAATTCCATATTAACTGACAATTGGTGGAATAATTTGTTTGAAGGAGCCTGGTGGAAAAATGAGGGTTCATGTTGCTTTGTTCTGCATTAGGTCTATTGTTTATACCATGTATGGTTCCATGCTTTATTAGGCTAATATACTCAGTGATCCAGGGAATGCAGATTTCAGCAAAGCCCATAAACCCTAAAATAACAACCACGGGAGAAGAAACTCACTCCCTTATGATAGTCAAGGCAAAGCAGAACCAAAAAACTGCAACCCAAAAAGTATTAGCTCAATTTGAAACAAAGACATGAATCAATAACATAAAGGGGAAGGATTGTGAAAAATGTTTCTGTGATTTGCATCAATTGGCAATGGAATCAGCAAATGCTTCTATCTGCTGTGTCCAAAATAGACACAAAGAAAAGTTGTGAAACTTTCTGACCAAATAGCCAAATAAAGCATCAAAATCAAAGAAGTATAGTAGAGTAAAAGAGATGAAGTAGCAAGACGACTGATACTTAGAATAAAATGGAGGAAGTTGGGGTAAAGCTAAGAGATATTGCAACAAAGCAATTAAATAGTTATGTATAATAAAAAGCTTGATGCACTTGACAAAATGATGTAGCAGACACCAGTGTAAGGCCTCCCTCCAGACGAACACAAGAAGGATAGGAATCAACAACCACCTGGAAAGATTATGAAATTCCTGATCCTAGCCTATTGTTATTTGCTGATTTGGACTAACCAAGCACATTAGAAAATGCTTTGTGGGTTTAAAAACAGTATATATACTTTACCAAACTCGTAAGTGGTGTGTGCCATGAGTGGAGCAGCGACTCCCCGGCCACCCAGCGCTGCTTGCTTGCTTGCTTTAAAATTAAAGGTATAAATTTTATATCAATTCAAACGTGGCTCCCAGGTGTTCCAGGGTGCCCTTTCTCCAGCATCCCTGCACTCCAGGCACTCAGCGCTTCCCCTGCTCCACGACAATACTTTCAGGGTCGGGGAGCCCTGCCCCACTCATCTCCCGGCTCCACCACCCATCCAGCCTGCCGGAGCTCCCCCGGCTCTGCTATCGCCCATCTCCCCACGCCGGGGCTCCCCCCTTTCATCCCCCGGCTCTCCCGGGGATCCCCAAAACCCGTGTCGTGTCGTGTCCCGCCCCGCCGGCACCGGGCGATCGCCACGTGGGCCCCGCAAAATCCCCCCAGGGCCATTTGCGGCTCAGCTCTGCACTCCTGCGAGATCCAAAAATATCTCCTCATCGAATAATACAAAATACCTCTCCCAGCGACACCGAAATATATTTGGGACTCGACTCCGGAATCGGCAGGGCCTAAACCACAGCAAAATCCCCTTCTCCCCGCCAAAAAAAACCCTCTCGGAGCTGCCGCGATCGACTCGGGGCGAGCTTCCCCCCGGCGCTCACCTGCGGGATGCGGGGCAATGCGATGCTGCCGGGCCCAGCCGAGCTGCGGGCTCGCCGTGGAACCCCGCAATGCTCCTTCCACTGCTGCCGCTCCTGCTCGACCTGCTCCCCTTCGTGCTCCTCCTGTTCCTGCTCCTCCCCTTCCCGTCTCCCTCCCCTTCCTCCCGCTCCTCCTCCGCTCCCTCGGCAGCTCCGAGAGGGTTTTTTTGGCGGGGAGAAGGGGATTTTGCTGTGGTTTAGGCCCTGCCGATTCCGGAGTCGAGTCCCAAATATATTTCGGTGTCGCTGGGAGAGGTATTTTGTATTATTCGATGAGGAGATATTTTTGGATCTCGCAGGAGTGCAGAGCTGAGCCGCAAATGGCCCTGGGGGGATTTTGCGGGGCCCACGTGGCGATCGCCCGGTGCCGGCGGGGCGGGACACGACACGACACGGGTTTTGGGGATCCCCGGGAGAGCCGGGGGATGAAAGGGGGGAGCCCCGGCGTGGGGAGATGGGCGATAGCAGAGCCGGGGGAGCTCCGGCAGGCTGGATGGGTGGTGGAGCCGGGAGATGAGTGGGGCAGGGCTCCCCGACCCTGAAAGTATTGTCGGGGAGCAGGGGAAGCGCTGAGTGCCTGGAGTGCAGGGATGCTGGAGAAAGGGCACCCTGGAACACCTGGGAGCCACGTTCGAATGAGGAGAGGATGAGCCCTGAGATCCCCAAAAGACCCTCAGCATGCCTGAGCAGGACCCGGGAGAGGGGGGATGCCCAGGACCCATGGGCCCCCAGCAGCTCTGAGAAGAGGGACCCCCAAACCCCAAAATAAGGACACTGGGAACAGGGAACGCCTGGGAGAGGTTTTTTTGTCTCCTTCTTGAGTTTTGGAAGTTTTTCTGGCCACCAGACACTGAGTGACTTCTAGAAATGGACTTGGCCAGCGGGACCTTCAAAGCCCACGCCAATTTCCTGGTTTAGGGCAATTTTGGGAGAAAAACCTCTAAAGGTGTTTCCTCTAGAAGAGCAAATTTAAGCGGCCCCTCTCTCATCTGGTTCTGGAAAAAGATTTCCTTGGAGAGAAGTGGAAAAACTGTTTCTTTAACAGGCAAAGCACTCACCAGCCCCAAAAATAAACAATATTCAACAATACAACCCCTTGCTGCTCCAAAAGAGATGACAAACTCACAGAATCCCTCCGTGGGCTGTAGTTTGGCTTGCTCAGTCTCTCTGGTGCTGGAAATGCCGCGGCCCAGCCCCAGTGGGGCACAGGTGTGAGCACCTGGTGCTCTTCTGGGTGTTCAGTCCAGAGCAGGTGTAGACAGGTCCAAAGAAAAGGAAAACCAAAAACCACAGTCCAGGGAACTTCTCTTCCTCTGCTAGCTAAAACTAACCAAAAGCAAAGGAGGGCTCTGCCCTGCTGTCTGTCCATCTGCAGACAACAGAAGAGCAGGAATGTGGAGGAGTGAAAGGGGTTCTGAAAACAAATTCCGTGCTTCTTCTTCCTCCCTCTTTGTTCTCAGAACCAGTGTTATAAAGGTGCAAAATTTATTTCAGACAAATGGGGATACGAGCATCATAATTTCACCCCTGGGACCCCCCAAAAGACCCTCAGCGTGTGTAAGCAGAACCCAGGGGAGGGAGAATGCCCAGGACCCACGGCCCCCCAGCAGCTCTGAGATGAGGGACCCCCATAACCCCAAAGTGAGGACACTGGAAACAGGAAACTCCTGGGAGAGGTTTCTGGACTTCTTGCTTTTTGGAGGTATTTCTGGCCACCAGACACCCGGTGACTTCTAGAGATGGACTTGGCCAGTGGGACCTCCGAAGGCAATGCACTCACATCTTGTTTTTCCCCCAAATCAGGATTTCCCATTTCCAAACCTTATCTGAATAGAGGAGAAGTCTGCAAGGAAGAGGAAGATGCCTTGGGACAGCCTGGCAGGTGAGGAGGAAGTCAGTGCCCCTTTCCCCTCTGTGCTGCTCCATCTCCCAGCCCAGCACGGCCCCGGCTGCAGCACAGCCCTGGGGGGATCTCCTTGCCCTTGCCTGTGGCACAGAGGCAAATCCCATCCTGTCCTTGTCCTTCCTCCCCCAGAGCAGGAGCTGAGCATGGAGAGCAGGGAGGACAAATGCCCGCGGCAGAACCTGGTGGAAGAGGCCGTTTTGAGCAGCTCCACGGCGCAGGAAGCCAATGGGGAGGAAAAGCCCCGGAGATGCCGCACGAGGAGGGGCTGCAAACGCAGCCCAGGATGCTCTGAGGTGGAAAGACCCAGCCTGTGCCTGGAAGGCAGCCAGAGATCTGGCCAGAGCTCTAAAGTGGTGGTCAATGAGCAGCTTGATGATGGCAAGAAGCCCCACCAGTGCTTGGAATGTGGGAAGAGTTTCCGCAGGAGCTACAACCTGTTCATCCACCAGAGGATGCGTACCGGGGAACGGCCCCACAAGTGTGGGGAATGTGGGAAGAGCTTCAGGATCAGCTCCCACCTGTACCGCCACCAGAAGATCCACACTGGAGAAAGGCCCTATGAGTGTGGGAAATGTGGGAAGAGCTTCAGAGACACCTCTGACCTGATGGTCCACCAGAGGATTCACACCGGGGAACGACCCTATGAGTGTGGGGAGTGTGGACAGAGCTTCAACGTCAGCTCCGACCTGATTGCTCACCAGCGGATCCACACCGGGGAACGGCCCCACGAGTGTGGGGAATGTGGGAAGAGCTTCAGGTTCAGCTCCAGCCTGAAACTCCACCAGAGGATCCATGCTGATGAACGGCCCTATAAATGTGGAGAATGTGGGAAAGGCTTCAGGAATAGCAGCCATCTGAACCGCCACCAGATGATCCACACTGGGATACGACCCTTTGTGTGTGGGGAATGTGGGAAGGGCTTCCGTGACAGCTCTGACCTGATCATCCACCAGACAATGCACACTGGGGAATGCCCCTACACGTGCTCAGAATGTGGGAAATGCTTCAGCCAGAACTCCAATCTGATTGCCCACCAGAGGATCCACACTGGGGAGAGGCCCTATGAGTGTTCTGAGTGTGGGGAGAGGTTTCAGAGTCGATACCGTCTCCTCAAGCATCAGCAGATTCACACAGAATAGAGGCCTTTCTGCTACCCTGACTGCAGGAAGGGCTTTAAGAAAAACTCCACCCTCCTCACCCACCAGCGGATCCACACGGGGGAGAGGCCCTGACAGTGTCCCAAGTGTGGGAAGAGCTTCTCCCAGAACTCTACCGTGACCCAACACCAAGGGAGGCAGCAGTAAGGGATGCCCTACAAGTGCCCTGTGTGCAGGAAGAGCTTTGAGTGCTGCTTCAACTCCATCCGCTATTGGAGGACCACCATTGGATGGTCCACAGTGACCCTCACTGTGCAGAGACTTGGTCATCCATGGTCCTGGTGATCCATGTTGGGAAGACACCTGGCTGGTGGTCTCCACATCTTCCTGGCTCCCCTTGAGCACTTTGACGCAGCCAGAGAAAAATCCATTGGGATGCAAACAGACATCAGAATTTCATAGGGGACAGCAGAGTTTTTCACTTTTGACCCCAAAAAGTCTCACCTTTTGCATCCTATCATTTCTTTGAGTGGCATCAAGGAATACTGGATTGTGTTGGAAGTCTTTTCCAACCTGAATCATTCCATGATTGTAATTCTCTCTGGCCCACAGGCATCTTCCACAGGCAAATGGTGATGGACTGGGGCAAAAAACCCAGGATTTTGAAGACAGTGGAGTGGAAATCCCTCTAGAAAAGGTCCTTTCTACCCGCCCGGGGACACGGATACTCAGCAGCATGGACACGTAAATCCTTTTATTTTGGCTTTGATTTTCCTTCATTTTTCTTCATCCCTTCACCCAAACACTGGGGTAAAATAAAGACATTCAACTAAGACATGGATAGTGACATTGGGGGACATGGCAGGGATGGGGACAGGGACAAGGACATGGGTGCGGACATGGCTGTGGATGGTGATATAGGGCATGGGGGGGGGGGGGTGTCACAGATAGAGATGGTGACATGGGGCTCTATAGCCATGGATGAGGACATGGGGGACATGGCCATGGATGGCAACACAAGTGGCCTAGAGGACAAGTCCATGGGTTGACATGTCCATGCAATGGAGTGTCCCACGGCCAAGGACAACACATTCCCACCACCACCATGATACTGTCCCTTTCATGCTACCATTTATTCCCTGCTCCTCCCCTGGCTGTGACACCCGCTTTACAGGATGTCCCCATGTCCTGGTGACCCGTGTCACTCAGGCCCTCTCGCCAGTGGCTCCAGCAGCAGCCAGAGCCCGTCCTCGGCACGCAGGATCAGCTCGGGCTTGCGGCGCGGGGGCGGCCTCGCATTGTCTCTCCGCAGCACGAACCGGGACAGTGTCAATGCCACTGCCACCTTCATCTCAGACATGGCAAAGCTCTGCCCGATGCAGTTCCTGCCACCACATCCCCACTGTCACTGTCACCCCACTGTGAACCCAGCCAGGGACAGGGGTGACATTTGGGGACACTCCTGTCCCCACTCCAGCACATACCTGGGGCCAGCAGAGAAGGGGATGAATGACGACGGGGACCGTTCCTTGCTGTTCTCCGGACTGAACCTCAGAGGATTGAACACCTGGGGTGACACCGATGCAGTCACACCGAGGGAACACAGCTGTCACCACCATAGTGACAGGGACACCTCAGAGGGTGGCCCTACCTCAGGCTCGGGCCAGAGGTCTGGGTTGTGGTGGGTCCCGTAGATGCTCATCAGGCAGATGACCCCTGGTGGGATGGGAATGGCCACTTTAGGGACAGCAGATGAGGGTGGGTGGTGACACTGGGGACACCCTGGCCATGCCATACCCTTGGGGATGACACGGCCATCACGCAGGGGGATGTCCTCGGTGCAGCGCCGGGACACAGCAGTGACAGGAGGGTGCAGCCGCAGGCTCTCCTTGATGCACATGGTGGTGAAGGGCAGCTGGGACAGGTCCTCCCTGGGGACAAGCGGGGGTGGCACCATGCTCCCAAGCCACATGGCCGGGGTGGCCCTGGGGACATCTCACCATTCAATGTCTGCAGTGTCCCGGCCAGCCAGGAGCTCCTGGACCTCCTGGCGGCATCGCTCCTGGTGCTCAGGATGGCCGGCCAGGTTGTAGAAGAGCCATGCCAGGCCACTGGCCGTGGTGTCATGGCCTGTGGGGACACTGGGTGAGTGAGGGGACACTAGAGTGGCTCCTCCCCAGTGGCACCTGGGAGCTCGTGCTCACCCTCAAACATGAAGGTGTCAGCCTCAGCCGCGATGTCCTCGTCCGACAGGGTGCGGCCATTCTCGTCCTGCAGGGGCAAGGTGGGCCACAGGCCACTGGGGCCACCAGTCTGTGGGCCACCTGGGGCCAAATCCCATCCATGGCCACCACCCTATGGCACCACAATCCCACTGGCCACCAGCTCTATGGTCAATGCTGCCCATGGCCACCACTGTTCCACTGTGGCCACCAGTCTAGGCCCAAGCCCCCCATGGCCACCAGCATCCTACTGACCTCTATGGCCAATCCTTCCATGGCCACCACCACTCTCTTGACCACTTCCATGTCCCCATGGCCACCACCTCAGCCCCACCTTGGTGAGCAGCAGGAGGTCGATGAAGTCCATGCTGCGTCCCCGGTGGCCATCCAGCCAGGCCTGGTGGCCCAGGCAGGCGAGTGCCTGGCGCCGGCGCTGCACCACATCAGCAGTGAAAGCGTGGACAGTGGCACAGGCACGGGTGAAGCGCCGGCCATCAGAGGAGAGGCTGTAGAGCCACCAGGGGTGGAGAAGTGGCTGGAATTGGCGCCGGACCACCAACGAGCTCAGCTCCAAGATGGCCTGGATGTACTCACTGGGCTGCCTGTACCAGGGACAATGGGGGGACACTGTGGCCACCAGCATGGATGACAGCAGGACCATTGGGGCCACTAGAATGATCAACAGGGAGAGTGATTGGACAGGATGGCCAATAGGGACTATGGCAGGGCCAGCACAGCCACCAGGATGGCCAGCAGGGACAATGGTAGCGTCACCAGGGCACTCTAGGATGAACAGTGGGGACAGGCGACACTCACTCCTGGCAGTGGCTCTCGTGGCTGAAGATGCACTTCTGGAGTGTGTCCAGGGTGAGGAGGCTCAGGGGCTGCAGCACCTCCAACTCCACTGGCCCCCCACCAGCTGCCTCTGCTGCTGCCGCCCACTTGGCCTGCGGGGAAGGGCTGGGTTGGGGAGGGAATCAGGGACAGGAGACAGGGGATAAATTGGGGGGTGGGAGAGGGGGAAGAGTTGGGGAGAGGGTGTAGAACAGGAATGTGGTGATGAACGAGGGATGGAGTTGAGGTTTGGGGGCAGCTTTGAGTTTGGGGTATGGGACAGTAAAGAATTTGGGTACAGGACAGGACTCAGGATGCAGCAGTGGGTGCAGGACAGAATTTTGGGTGCAGGACTCAGGGTTTGGGATGCAGGTCAGAATTTGGGGTGCAGCACTCAGGATTTGGGGTGCAGGTGGAGACTCATGCCCATCTGGGATCTCTCACGAGCAGCACGCGGGTGCTCTGGTTGAAGATTCTCAGGTAATTCCGGAGCACATCCCCATGGAAGGCAGGCGTCAGGAGTCGCCGGTGCCGCGCCCAGCGCTGCCCATCACTCAGCAGCAGCCCCTCTCCTGGGGAGAGGACACTGGGGTCCGCTGAGGGCACCCAGGGGGTTGTCCCTGTCCCTCACCACCCCTGTCCCCTGTGACACACAGAGATCCATCTGGGGACACCCAAGGATGATGTCCCTGTCGTCCACCGCCCCTGTCCCATGCGACACACCAGGATCCATCCTGGGGGGCCACCCAGGGGTGCTCTCCCCACCCCTGTGACACCCAACTCCATTCACGGGGCACCCCTGGGTGCTGTCCCCATCCTAACCTCCCCCACTCACCCAGCCAGGGCTTGAGGAAGCCGTAGAAAATTTTGTCCTTGGGGGCCACGAAAGCTGCAGGATACAAGGATGGGGTGGGCAGGGATTCACTGGGGTGCCATCAGGTTCCCTGCGTGGGGACACTGGGGGTGGCCCCACCCTGTCTGCACCCATTAACCATCAGGTGGGGACCTTCTCCCAGCACCCATGGCCACCAAAGGATGAGGGTTGGGGGACAACCAGAGGCTGAACATGGTGACACATTTGGGTGGCCTTGGGGAACCTCAAGGACAGGTTGGTGGCCACTATGGGGGCGGCATTTGGCCTGCCAATGGTGACATCTCTGGGGACCTGTGGGCTTGGGTTGGTGGCCACTGCCTGGGCACTGCCAGGTCTCTGTGCCAGGTGCGGTGACACCCATGGGTGGCCCTGGGGACCCGTCTGATGTCCCATGTCCTACCTGAGGCACTGAGGAGTGGCCGGAGGGTGCTGGGGTGGAAGAGGCGCAGCACAGGCAGCCAGGGAAGTCCCCACCAGAGGCAGCCATGACGGTACTGGGCCACCAAGGTGTCCACCTGCTGTAGGCCTTCCTCCGTGCTCTGGCCCTGGGGACAACAGGACACGTGTGCCATTGGGGGCACAGATAGGCTCAGGGACGTGTGTGTCCTCAGGACACTGCCAGCCTTGGGGACACTTGTTTCTGCCCCACTTTCCTCTTGCAGGTGCCAACACCCTGTCCTCACTTTCCCCTTGCAGGTGCCCCCACACCGTCCTCACCATCCCCCCAAGTGCCACCACCCCATTCCTTCGGTCCCCTCACAGGTGCCCCCACCCAATTGTTCCTTTGCAGGTGCCTCCACCCCTGTCTCCGAAAGTGTCACCCCCTGTCCTCTCACCATGCCGGTGTGTCCCAGCAACCAATTGCGCCAGGGCGGGATGGGGAACTTGTTCAGCTGGCGACAAGTGGCACGGAATCGGATGACAGCCACCAGCGCATCCCAGAGCCACCGCAGCAGCACGGCCACCACAAAGGTGCCCAGGGCGACCGCACCCAGGGAACCTAGCGCCGTGGCCACCGCCATGGAACCGATCCTGGGGACAGGGCAAGGGTCGGGTGTGGGCGGTGTCACCTGCGGGGTCACGTGGTGCAGCGCTGGGTGTCACCGGATCCGCATGCCGGGCTGTTTTATTTTTCGGCGCGGCAGGCGGAGGTGCGGGCAGGAGTGCAGAGGGGAGTGCGGTAATTGTTCGTTTCCCTTTCCCACCGCCCCCACGCCGCGTTTTCCTTTCGATTCCTTTTCTCCCTTCTCGCTGGGAGAGGCTGTTACGTCGCTCCCCGCGCCGCCCCTCAGGGCCGTCCCCGCTCGGCCGGGCGGTGGCGCGGAGCACCACGGGAAAGGCTTTTCCCGCCGCCGCCCGGGCCCTCAGGCGCGGCTGGCGGCGGCCGGAGAGGAGGCGGCTGCGCGGGGCAGCGAGCGTGTGGGGCGGGCAGGGGAGCCGGGCACGGGCCAGGCTGGGCACGGGCTGCGGGTGCTGCCGGCGGCTGCGCGGTGTCTTGGCCAAGGAGACTTCTGGGTGGGTCGCTGGGAGTCTTGTTTTATGG